CACACACACACACACACACACACACACACACACACATGAACATAATTGTTATCATGTTTCCCCTATTTCTCTTTCTTCCTGCACGTTATCCTATTGCCCAATGGCTGCATTTGCAGTGTTCAGATCCTCGACTGATTTCTTGTACTCTGCAATGAGACAGGTTTTTGTCTTTGGAAAACAAATTGTTGCTCCCTGTGCTTAGAACATTAATATTTTTGTTCTCCCAGACTCATAAGCAACCTGCTTCAGTTTCCCAATACCGAGACTGGATTTTTCAGTGTTGACTTACCTTACTCGCACATAAGAAATACAAATAATAAAACGAACTAGTATTATTGTAAACAAGCATTTTTTGTTTGTTTGAAGTGTAATACTAAACATACTTCCGTGTTGGTAAAAGCATATTTGGCACTTATCCGTTACCAAGCAAACAGAAGCAACAAGATTAATTATTAGCGTTTTTATTTTGTGTGGCTCTCGGTCATAAAAGGAAGGATTTATCCCCAAAAAGGGGGAGGGACGTTTTGTGGTGTCTTGGTTAGGTGCCTTTGAGGACTAGTTTGATTCTCTGAAAGAGGAGTTTTAATATTAGGCTGTTAAGTATCTCATATTTTCTTTGTTTTTGCTGACAAATTATGGCCCCTGGCAGTCCTTGAATGGCACTAGCGTCCAGCCTTTCGATTCATTTACACCCCAATCAATACAATACAGAGTAATCGGACAGATATTGGGATGTCATGAAATAAAATCCATTCTCATAATAATAATAGTTATTATTTTATTATTTTTATCATTTAGACCCCATCAATACAATACAGCGTAATTAGACATATATTGGGATGTGATGAAATGAAATTCATTCTCATAACAATAACAATAAAAGTATCTTTATCAAAATTGGGGAATACTCTAAAGAAACCCGCCTCTTGCTAAATATAAAAAAGTGAGTTGTCAGTTTCAACTAACCACTTAATGCAAATGCCATAGTAGTCTTTGGGCTAGGCCTGCGGGGCACAGAACAAATTATTGGTAAGTTTTTGGGTTTTTTTATAATTTTATTTTTCCTTCTACTCTGTGTTCTAAGGAATTCACATAACATCCCTTCTCGCCCATTCTAAGATTCGAACATTAATTCTAAGGCCCCGCTGTTAAATACGTTGGTATCATCCTTCACCACTGTGTCCTTTGATTTAATTCCCAATAAAGTATTCTTAAACACGCACGCGCACACGCACGCACGCACGCGCGCACACACACACACACACACACACACACATACAAACACACACAAACACACATACACACACACACACCCTCTATGTTCCTTTCTCTCACCCCC